CACCCCCATCTCCTACCAACTGACCTCATCCCGCCCCCTTGACCTGTCCGTCCTCCCTGGACTGACCTATCTCCTCCCTACCTCCCCACCTACACTCACCTTTACTGGCTCCATCCCCGCCTCTTCGACCTGTTTGTTTCCTCTCCGCCTATCCTCTCCTCTATCCATCTTCTATCCGCCTCCCACTCTCTCCCTATTTATTTCAGAACCCCCTTCCCCTCCCCCTTTTCTGATGAAGGGTCTAGGCCCGAAACGTCAGCCTCTCTGCTCCTATGATGCTGCTTGGCCTGCTGTGTTCATCCGGCCCTGCACCTTGTTGTACTCAATATCTGGTTCTGTCAGAACTTCCAGCAAATTCTTGTCAATTGCTGTGCACTAAACAGCTGCTTTCTTGTTAAAGTGAACTTATAAATCACACAATTTTCAAACTGGTGTCAGCAAGCGAGCAATTTTATTTTAAGACAGATGGTCCAGAGGTTTGAACACTGAATAGATGGATTTCCGTTCTTAGTCCCATTAAAAATATTTTTTGAAGTTCTTTTTAGAATAAACAAGGGGAAGGGACAGAGGAGGAAGCAGGCAGACCATACATCAGCATCTCTGAACCTGATGAACACCTTATCAATGTTATCTCTCAAAAATCATTCATTTATATTTGATCAAAAATGGACCCTACAAGTAACAACACCAGAGGCATGAAAGTAGGCAAGTTCTGGATTAGGCGATACTGTGTATACATTGAGAAAATATATGGATATAAACAATGAGAAAATATATGGATGGCTCAGTGGTTAGTACTTCTGCCTCACAGTGCTAGGGACACAGGTTCAATTTCACCCTTAGCACTGTCTGTGTGGAGTTTGCATATTCTTCCTATATCTGCACAGATCCCTTCCGGATGCTCCAGTTTCCTCCTATAGTCCAAAGATGTATGGGTTAGATGGATTGGCCATGCTAAATTGTCTGGAGTGCCCAGGGATGTATAGGCTAGATGATTAGCCATGGGAAATGCAGGGATACTGGGATAGGATAGGGGGTGGGTCAAGGTGGGGTACACTTCAGAGGGTTGGTGTGGACTCAATGGGCTGAATGGCCTGCTTCCACACTGTAGGGATTCTATGCTATGATTCTACCTCCATGCTACAATTAAACTCATGGATTATTGTGAAAACCATTAGGCACCCGTGCAAGGATCTGAGCAGAGATTGGAAAACTGTGGATGAGCAAGTGGATTTGGATATCCACTTACAGAAATCACTAGAAGCTGAAAACAAATATAGAAAGCAATTTTAAAAGCCTGGTGTCTGGAGTACAGTAGTGAGGAAGTGATGCATAAATTGCAGGGAGACTTGGTCAGATCCTGTTTGATGTATCACATTCAACTTTTCACACCTCAGTAATGATCAAATGGCCTTGGGTGGGGGGATGGGGGGGGGGGGTGGTTGTGCGGTGGCGGGGGAGGTGGGGTAGTACAGTGCAGATTTGCAAAAATGATACTAGGCTTCAAAGGTTCAAGTTAAAAGAACATTTTACTTTATGTGATTTAGTATTTTCTTGTAGTTCAAAGGCTGAAGGGTGATCAAACTGAGCTGTTAATAGGGATTAAGGGAAATGATAAGGATAGACTTAAAGAATCGATTTCTTCTGATGCAGGAGTCATGAGGGTCACACTGGAATGAAATCCGGAATCAGAGAGTTTTCATAGCAATCTTAAACTCTCCCTCCCAAATTGGGACTGAATTAATTATTTCAAGATTGATATCAATAGATATCTTGTGAGAGTAGAGTACAATGGTGGGGAAATGGAATTGAGACATGGATTCACCCTGATCTGATTGAAAAGCTGAATAGTCTTTTTCCATTCCATCTGGATGCGACATTGGTAACTGATGCAAATGTATGGAGTGAGTCCCACTTACGATAAACGTGATCCCAGAACATTCAGGCCTCATCGGCAGTTGTCCTGGTGCTTCTGCCAACCACTGTAAGCTCAGGAAGAGGGTCAAGCAGAAAGTAGATCAGAGAAAAATGCTGCATTTCCAATGTAAAAACCTGGTTCATCAACTGAAAACTGGATTCGGTTCTCTCACAATGAAGGGTTTGTGTTCCGATGCCAGTCAAAATAGACACTGTACTCCCGGCAATTGCTACCGCAGCCTTGATATCTGACCAGTTCTCTGTTGGTGCCAAGCTATAAGCATAGGATGGGAAGCAGGTATGAGGGGGAAGATATCCCTACTCAACCCTGGGCCATACCTGCTCACAATGGTACATTTTACGATTAATAGCTGCATCGCTGCAGTGACATCAATGGGTATGTGCACATCAGAAGATGCAATACATCCATCCGACACAGGAGAAGCTCACAGTATACAGATTTTGCTTGGGGATCGAGGGGAAATTCGCTATAACTTTCAGCAGCAGGCATGGGTATAATCACTGCATGCTGAAATGAAATCAGATATGTGAACTCTTTAATGTGTACAAAGAAGAATTTGCTATCGGATTATAAAATGTTACTGTAAATTAGCCATTGTTACAATTTTCCTGAATGCATGCACCATACAAAAAAAATCAAACAAATGAGATGTGCTTGAGATAGAAAGAACCTTGAATGCTGAAAATCTGAAATAAAAACAGAAAATACTGAAAATGCTCAGAATTATATTAACTTTACAGCTCCGTAACTGACCATCCAAACCAACTGGTATATATCAGTCTCAATGCTCTATATGATCCTCCTCCTCCACCTTTTCATTGGTTCCTATCAATATATCTTTGTTCTTTTCTCTATTATACATTTAATGAATGTCTGTTTAAATGCATCAATTCAACCCGTCACGAGTACACAATGTGTTAGCAAGTCCCACGTACCTTTCCTAGGAATAAAGGGTTTTCCCTGAATTCCCAATTGGATTTATTAGTGACTACCTTACGCTTCTGATCACTGAGTAGAATCTGACATGTAAAGCAGATTCTATCTGTTTGGGGAAGTAGGGAGAGAAGCTGATGATTTACCGGCCTGTGCCTTCAGCTTCCTTAGTACTGAGTTATGGAATTTCTACCGGAAGCTTCATCTCTGTCTTTCTCCTCAGTTAGCTACCTTTCTGAAATCTGCCTCTTTGACCATGCCTTTTGGTCACCTGCCCTAACATCCCCTTGTATGATTGTGGGCCGAAAGGTGCTATGGAAATGGAAGTGGATATTACTGTTGTGCGAACTCAACACGTAAAGGGAAGTGAGTTATTGCTAACCATCGTGAATCTCAAGTTCTAGATTTTCCTTTTTAAGAGGTTTTTCTCTACGCATTGCCTTGAACCAAAACCAGAGAATGAAGGTGACAGGGAGGATATGGGGAGGAGGAAGGGGAAACTTTTCCATTAGCTCTTTGGAAAATCTAATTCTCCTCACATTTTTTATATCAAACCACCAAAGACGTTAGCGGGTTAGGGAAGTGGGGAGAAGCAGCAAAGAAAAGAGGACGTCCAAATAAATATTGAAATTAGTATTGGCAATAACAGAGAAACATAGAAAATAGGAGCAGGAATAGGCCATTCGGCACTTTGAGTCTGCTCTGCCATTCATTCTGAACATCTAACTCAGTACAATGTTCCTGCTTTCTCCCCATACCCTCTGATCCCTTTTGCTCTCAGAACTATGTATAACTCCTTCCTGAACACATTCAACGTTTTGGCTTCAACCACCTTCTGTGGCAGAGAATACTAAAGGCTCACTACTGTCTGGGTGAAGACATTTCTCCTCATCTCAGTCCTGAATGGACTACCCTATATACTTACACTGCGAACCCTAGCACTATAAGATCATAAGACATAACAGCAGAAGTAGGCCATTCAGCCCATTGAGTTTGCTCTGCCATCAATGAGATCTTAGCTAATCTGATAACCTTCAATTCCACTTTCCTGCCTTTTCCCCATAGCCCTGGATTCCCTTACCGATTAAAAATCTGTCTATCTCAGCATTGAATATACTTAATGACCCAACCTCAAAAACCCGCTGCAGTAAAGAGTTCCACAGATTCATTACCCTCTGAGAAAAGAAATTCCTCCTCATCTCTGTCTTAAATGTGTGACCTGTTATACTGAGATGATGTCCTCTGCTCCTAGACTCTCCCACAAGGAGAAACAATCTTTCTGCACCTACCCTGTCAAGTCCCCTAAAAATCTTGTATGTTTCAAAAACATTCCCTTTCATTCTTTTAATTTCCAGTGAGTACAAACTACTCAATCTCTCCTCATAAGACTGTCCATCCATACCAGGGATCATCCTAGTGAACTCCAATGCCAGTATATCTCTCCTTGGATAAGGGGCCCACAACTGTTCACAGTATTGTAGCTGTTTTCTGACTAGTGCCTTGTATCATTTCAGCAAACCTCCCGAGCTTTATACTCCATTCCCTTTGAAATAAAGGCCAACATTCCTTTTGCCTTTGCTATTACTCACTGAACTTGGTTGCTAGCTTTCTGCGAGGACTCCCAAAT